CTTCACAGTGTCTTTTTCAATCTTTACCAATGCAAAGCTGGAGAATTCTGGGGATTGAAGTCCACACATCTTAAAATGACTAAAGTTGAGAAACACTGCTCTATGGCAATTCAGTCCCACACTGACCTTGCAAATGTATCACTAACTTCATTCCTACTATCATTTCTCGTCTCTAAAGCCCTTCCTGCCAGAATAACCGCCTGTATATAACATGTCAGTTTAATTCACACTTGGTAGTAAGCCACAGATTCTTTAAATGTAGCTTGCTGAAATAAGTACAACAGGCCATGTTCATCGAGGTGCCTTAATTGTGTTGTACTGTCACATTTATTGGAGAAAACAGAAATCAGAAACTAGCACTCTTGCAACAGATTATACAGACCTATTTTCATTTATTAAACTCTGTGGTATAGATTGAATTAATTAATTAGCTCCCAATATGAGAGAAAAATATACCAAGGCAAAAATGTAATAGCTTTTAATGCACACATTTAGAAATGCACATAGGAAGCTTCCCCATGCAAGCATGTAGCAAATAATGAGGAGCATGTTACCAACTGTTCGGCAGCTGGGCATACAAAACAGACGTTGTGCCCACAATTGGCCACATATATCCAAGAGTAGGAGGTTGTAACCCTGTTAAAGGATGCTGGAATCATAGCAACCAGCTATCTGAAAGGATAGGAAAGATTTTATCACCTGTCCTTTAAAAGAGAGGGCTGAAGGCAAGAACTATGTGCCCCTGCAGTTTTCACATACTGTTCTTCAGTTAAACATTTAGCTTGCAAGTGATCTACTGTTCACTGGACTGTCTTGGGGCTGAAACATCAGTGCTTCTGCTTCTCCCCCATCCCTTTATCTTTTCTCCAGTCCCTGCTGGGCTTCTTCCAGTCCCTGCTGGTTTCAAAGATGTGAAAAGTAGCCAAGGCTTCTTTTCACATGAAGTTAGCCAAGCTGCTGACTGCTGAAATAGCTGCTAAGCAGAGGCATTCATTTAATGGCCTAAGAGTCCTCCTCCCCCACCCTCGTTCTGTACAGTGCACAGTGAGACACACAAGGGTGTCTGTTGGAGTGTTTATATACGTGTGCGTGTGTTGGAGGATGTTTATATTTCAACAGACACCTGTGGGTATGAATACACACATGCCACAGACACTTCTCTCTGGGTTATTACAAGCTTTGCATAACAGCTGGAAAAGATATTAAATGATACATCTTGCATATTAATCTCAATGAAGCTGGAAAATGTGGGCTGTTCTTTGTGTATCATTTCATCCTATTGATTTCACAGCTCCAATTGTCTGAATCTCCCATCCACTTATGCAAGGACAGGATTACAAAGAAAAATCACTGTTGCGTTCATAGTGGATAAAGTTTATTGTTTTAAATAGTATGAGCTAGTGGCTAAGATTTCCTACAATGTAGGAAAAAAAAGTTTTCAACATAAAAAACTTAAACCAGGTAAAAAGAGGCAGAAAATATTACAGGTAGTTCTTGACTTACAACAGTTCATTTAGTGCAATAGCACTGAAAAAGTGACTTATGTCCGTTTTTCATATTTACAATCTTTGCAGCATCCCCACAATCGTGATTAAAATTCAGATGCTTGGCAACTGGTTCTTATTTATGACCTTTGTTGTGTCTCAAGGTCAGGTGATTACCTTTTGCGACCTTCTGACAAGCAAAGTCAATAGGGAAGGCAGATTTACTTTACAACCAGGTTACTAATTTATCAACTGCAGTAATTCGCTTAACTATTATGGCAAGAAAGGTTGTAAAATGGGGCAAAACTCACTTAACAACAGAAATTTTGAGCACAATTGTGGTCATATGTCAAGGACTACCTGTACTCAGTACCTCATGATATAAAAGTTTACCTTTCCTTGTGTCTATCCCATATTATAGAACTGCTCACAAGAATGTCCACTGTCATTAATTTCAATCTCTTTGTATATATTATTGAATATATGACATATAATAAATTATCCATGAGCATGGCATTCTAAAGAACTTTCTTCAGTGTTTAAAAGTCAGATTATCTAGATTCCACAAGACTACAATGGTCACAATTATTCATAACAGCATAGTTGCAAATGGTTTCATGTAACCCTAGGATGCTGCCACCATTTTAAAGATGTTCCAATTGCCAAGCACCCAAATTTTGATCAAGCGTCTATAGGGATAGTGCAACAATCATTCACTAATCTGACACTCTATATGCATTGGTTCAGCTTTCAGAATTCTTATTTGGAATTCTCTATGTACCCATTCCAACACTTCTAATAGGCACCAACTAGAAAAGAGAGAGCTAGGAGAGGCCAATTAGGGGAGAGCTAGATTTGACTGGTAAGAGATCAAATTTTATCAATGGAAGAACTAGACTTTAAATCAAAATAAATAAAGGTATCCCTGTGCTTCTGTTAAGAAGAAGACTCGAAATTATGTTAGTTATGTTCTCTTTCCTTTGAGAACCTCCTAAAATTTTGTCCTCACACCATTTTTCATCCATGAATCCAAGTGATCTAACCCTGACTCTAGCCCTAGCCTTAGTTTCATTTAATTGTGCATGTGATTTTCCCATGTATTTCACTGCGGCCCAAAAGATTCTAGGAGGTTCTCCAAGGAAAGAGAACATAATAGGTTTTCATTTCGACTCTTCTGTGGGCCGCAGTGATATACATGGAAAATCCCATTAACAACAAAAATGAAACTAGGGTTAGAGAGCTAGGGTTAGGATTATGGTTAGATCACTTTACAGTCAGGGCAGAAAAAGGGTGTTGGGGTAGATTACAGGAAGTTCTCAGAGGAAAGACAACAGAACAGTTTTTTGTTCTGAGTCCTTTTTGGGTCGCAATGAAATACATGGGAAAATCACATTGACAATGAAAATGAAACTACGGTTAGGGTTACCGTTAGTATTAGACTGCTTTGGAGTCGGGGCTGAAAATTGTTGTAAGTGATACATTATAGGAGGTTTTCATTGGGAAGAGAACATAACAGCTTTTTGTTTGGGCTCTTTTGTGGTCAACAGTGAAATACATGGGAACATTTCTTTGACAATTAAAAGGAAACTAGGGTTAGGGTTAATACTAGGGTTACGGTTAGATTACTTTTCAGTCATGGATGAAAATGGATGATGGGGTGGATTGTAGGAGGTTGTCCTTGGAAAGAGAACACAACAGCTTCTCTTTTGTACTCTTTTGGTGGACTGCAGTGAAATACATGGAAAAATTCCATTTACAATCAAAATGAAAATTGGGTTATGGCTAGGGGTAGGGTTAGAGTTAGATCTCTTTGGAGTAAGGGCTAATAATGGTGTGAAGGCTAGATAGGAGTTTCTCAACAGAAAGAGAACATACCAGCTTTTCATTTGGACTCTTTTGTAGTCCACAGTGAAATACATGGAAAACCTGCATGGACAATTAAAATGAAACTACAGTTAGGGTTCGGTTTAGGGTTACATCTCTTTGGATGAAAAATGGTGTGAGGGCTAGATTCTAGGAGCTTCTCAAAGGAAAGAGAACATAAAAGCTTTTTGTTTTCCTTGTTTGTAATTCACAGTAAAATACATAGGAAAATCCCATTAACAATGAAAATGAAACTAGGATTAAGGCTATGCCTAGGTATAGATTTAGATCACTTTGGCATCTGGGCTGAAAACTGATGTGAGGACTAGATTATAAAAATTTCTGAATGGAAAGAGAACATAAAAGCTTTTTATTGGGACTCTGGGGTCCACAGTGAAATACATGGGAAAATCGCATGGACAATTAAAATGGAGCTACGGTTAGGGTTAGATCACTTTGGACTCATGGATGAAAAAATGTGTGAGGGCTAGAATCTTGGAGGTTCTCAAAGGAAAGAACGTAACAGTTTTTGTTCGGACTGTTTTGTGGAACGCAGTGAAATACATGGGAAAATCCAATTGACAATGGAAATGAAATGGGTTAGTGTTAGATTACTTTTGAGTCAGGTGAAAAAGAGTGTTAGGGGTAGATTCTAGGAGGTTCTCAAAGGAAAGATGACAGCTTTTCATTCTCAGTCATTTTTGAGCTGCACTGAAATACATAGGAAAATCTCACTGACAATGAAAATGAAACTAGGGCTAGGGTTAGGGTTAGATCACATTGGAATCATGGATGAAAAATTGTGTGATGCAACTTCCGAGTTAGACATCATGGTGTTGTAAAGCACAAACTAAATAGCCTTCGTATTATTGTTTATACTTTGTGGTTTTAGTTTTTTTTTCTACTTTTCTATAGTTTGATGGTTTGCTTTACTGTATTCTGTCATTTATAATCTGGTCACATACTGCAATAATACACTCTACATAGGGCTACCCTTCAGAGCTATACAGGCTCCTTGGATGGCCCATATAATATGGCTGTGGCATGACCTACATTGCTGATTCCTTGATCTTTGTCAAGTTACTGGCACTGATTTGGAGGAGACATCTTCAGTTTGCCATACATCTTTTGGAAGCCTCTCAACTGTCGCCAAACCTTATGACCCTACTACAGCTATTCTTTGTTTTACAGATCTGTGAAAGACGTAAATACAAGGACTGGTTGCAAAGTTATTTTTTTATTATTACTGTTACAACTGTGAACGATCACTAAATGAGGCAATTGCTAAACGAGGACTACCTGTATTCGTTAGAAATCAATTAATGCAGACCAACAAAGATATAGTATCCTGTTATATCAATCACCATATGAATAAAACTCTTGCTGATACTTTATTTATATATACATATAATTCATTATTATTAAATATATCAAAAGTTGAAAAAGATTCAGAAGTCTAAATATACAATGGAAAAGCTATGCTGAAAAATGATGAGAAAATACATATCCCCTTCCCAGTAAAATATTTGCTCCCCTACTGGAAATGGTTTGATTAAAATTTTCCATTTTTTTTCTAAAAAAGCTACCAAGAGATAATTGAACTAAAAGATACAAATAAATGGATGTGGCAATGAATATATGACATACCAGTAATTGAAATTTTTAACAAACTCAAGTTTATTGTTCAAGGAATTACAACTATAATACTTTTTGAATATGAAGTTATTCTTGAAAACTCCAACAAAATACTTTAAAAACACAAGTTGCTTGACTTGTACTATGGATTCATCTCAAAGTTTCAACCATTAACTTCCCCCAATATAGCCTTACATTTTATGCAAGTAAAAACTGTAATGTTTTAGGTATAATTCTGAATAAAATCCCTGGATATTTACAAAAGGTCAACACTGTATCAAAAGTTTAAAAAAAAGTTAAAAAAGAATTGCATATGAAGAACTATCCCAAGATGAAACTGCAGTAAATAAAAATAGTAAAGCAAATTATTAATTTCTGAAATTAAAATATTGCAGCTTTATCAATCTGCTTAGCTTTGAAAACAGGCACTTCTGTATCATCAAGAGGTGGTTGGTTTCCATTTATCAGAAATATTACATGGAAGCAGCTGTTGTAATATAATTCTCAGAAACCAAAGCATGACAGCATCATTCTACTAATTCTAGTGTAATTTTTCCAGCACATGGCAATTGAGCTTCCACAGATAAATAAAAAGAAAGCAGTAATGCCCGTTTCCTAGCAAGCTAATTCTTAAATTTATGATTGCAGTGTAATCCTAAATATGTTTAATCTGAATCTAGTTCTGGTGTATTTCATGGTTCTTACTTCCTAATAAAGAAGCATGTTTGGACTGGATTCTCCAAATGAAATTTGACAGGCATGGGAAAGAGATCTTATGCCAAATAAGAAATAGGAAATAAAAAATGTTTATTACCACTGAAGAAGTAGTTCAAACTGTGCTATTAAAATTACTTTGAATTAAATTGGTTTTTCCCTAATTTATCTACTATTGAATTTAAATATGAGTGCATCAAAATATATTTAAGGATGAAACTGAAGAGATACAAGAAAGATAAAGACAATTTAATAAAAATTATATTAAAAATACTTTGATAAGACAGAATTCTTATTTTATTGTCTACTATTCCTAACCGAATAGTTTGATAGATGCATCTAGTCCCACAGTGGCTCATAATAGTTAATTAATTGCACCAACATTTACAGTGTTGCACATCCCAGTCAAATTTTCAGGTTCCATGTTATGTCACCCAATGATTCATAAAAGGTGCTTTTCATTAATATAAATATTTTTATACCCACAATTCTTTCTCATTCACAATCCAGATTTGTAATAATTTACTATGAGATCTATTGCAGAATAAAAACTTTCTTGGCCTCATACTCTTCCACTGAATATGACATCTCATCCAGTGAAGTGTTAAACTCTTTTTCATCTATCTAAATAAAAGGGTTCAGGTGTATTACTTATTATGGAACACCAAACACATATGCACATATATTCAAAATCCAACTGCCTTGCCACATTGAACTAGGTGAGTTTCTTGAGTGTTCTTTAAATTCAGATAGTGAAAAAAAATATTTAAAAAATCTGTCTCAAAATGTAAGTGTTCCATGAGAGAAGCATTATCCTAACCATCAATGTCAGGAAAATGATTATACAGATAATTTTATGATTTATTAAACAAATGGAGCTGTAGCAGAAGCAGTTTCAAACATAAAATCCTCTGGTTGGGCAGCAGAAAGGTGCTAGAAGAGTCCACAGGTAGAGAAGGATACACACCCAACAAGAAGCCATTTTAATCCAGAAAATGGACCAGGTTCCAACGAAGAATTTTTCAATTGCAGCATTTTCATAACTACGATGAAAGGGAGTGGAGGTTACCTAATTTGCTGATACACAAATCAATTCTAGAAGGATGGTGCAATTCTATGAGGACTTATTTCAAAGAAACTGTAGTGAACTTCCCTGGATCCTGTTTCCTCACTAGCAAGAAATGTTTGTTTATTCAAACCCGTTCAGTGCTACTTTCTCCCAGATAAGATAACCCATGCATAGCAGTCTGCTTTCAACTAATTTGTGCAGGCCAGACATCAGGAATTTGATTTTTATTACATTTCTTGTAAACCTGTGATAAGAAATGCAATAAACCAATTCAGATTACAGTTCTGTAAATGCCAGCCATCATCCACTATTATTAATTTGCAATGCAACTGTTAAATCTAAAACATTTTCTTCTGAAACTTCTATTTGATGTACCCTATTTCCAGAAACACAAAGATGGATTTGTACTTAAGTTGTACTATAGTTATAATGTTGTGTGCTTAAAATATCTAATTGCATCATCTCAGTAATCTTTATATAACTGGCCACAATTATTTATCTGATTTTATAGGGAATGAGGCTTAGATTGAAGGAATAATGAGTTGCCTAAAGCCATCAAATAGTTTGTGTAAAAGGTGAAATTTAATTCAGAAGCTCCTGTTACCGTAAGCATCACCTGGCAGAGGGCTAGGTTTCTTGAGGGACCACCTTTTTCCAAGAACATCTGCCTACTCACATGCTGCCAGAACATGCGTCTTTTACTTTTTGTCATCTTATGGTACCTAGAATGATCTCCCTCCCCTTCCCCCAAGCCCCAACTTTTCTCACCTTTAGGAAACTGTCAAGGTCTGACTCTTAGGCGTTAGGGGGCCAGTGGAGTGGAAGTCCCCTTGTGGCTTTGTTATGTGCACAATTGCCAGTTTATATTTGGCATTTTATATATTAATCCAGTTAGGAGTGGTAATTTCATTTCTACCGTATTAAGTTCCATGCAGTCCTCCCAAATTCTTCCCCAGGAGGCTAGACAGTCTTAGAGTGGTTATGAAGGGGCTGACTCGAGAAAGAGGACCAGAGGGGTTCCCGCTACATAAAATCAAACTGTACATTTGTTTTGAGGGACTTACTGGAACCAATGGGTAACAGTCATCATCACATAAAGAGACGCCAGGAAGAATACAAAGTGGAAATAAGCATAGCTGTATACAGTTCCTTTCTTTTCGTCATAAATTACTCTCTGACCGCTTTCTGTCCCAATATGCTCTTCAACCTCAGCTGGGTAAAATAAATAGAAAGAGAAATATGATATACTTTAGATCTAAATCAGTAACATATACTCAGAATAAAGTTAACAATGCAAAATAACCCTGTGTTGAGTCTGAAACAGCTGTTTTAAGCATAGAATGGCCCTGCAACAGCTGTTTTAACCTCAAAACATTTCTGAAAAAAAAAATGATACAGCCATTTTGCATTTGAACAGGGTCATTTCAATTCTGAAACATTTTGAAAACCCATATATACACATTACCTGGGAAAAAAACCCTAATGAATGAGATGGGATTATTTTTGAGTTAACCCAGCTAGGATTGCCTTGGCTGAAACTCAATTAAAAAGATTGGGAAGGGGGAGAATCCATTCTTAAAGTGTTATGCCAAACTAACCATATTAATTAGTCCCCTTTCACACTTATCTTCCTTTACGAATATTTTTGCTTAAATTGATAGTTGCTGGTCTTTGGTCAAGTCATTGTGAGCTGAAGTTTAGGACTTCTGCCCTTGAGCAATTATTAGTAAGTGTCAAGAATGTGGCCTGGAAGAGAGCCAAAGGATGTTTTCTGCAGTGGCTATTCTTCTGTTTGATGTGAAATTTCACATCCATTTCTCCCTGGCCTTGATATCCTTCCCACTTGTGGGAGGACACACAAATACAAACTTTACTACTGAACTACAACTCTTCTCATTGTTGAGAATTTTCTTCTCAATTTAATGGCAATCTATTATAATTAATTCCAAAAGAAAATATATTCCGCTAACACATGGGATAAAAATACTGTTTTCTGTCCACAGATATGTTCTTTTTAAAGCTATGTCTGTAATCAACATGCTTGTGGTTATAACATATATTTTAAGTTTTAAGCTTCTTGTGTGGTTATATGGTTTTTCTCCACACACAGAAGCAAATCTAAAAAAGAAAAACTGCAGTGCTTTAAGATGACAAAAATAACCTTTCAAGAGAATCTTTTTAATACACATGTATTCAAGTTTTAAAAGACTCTATATGCATTTGAAGTTTCTGAAAATGCTGCCATATGTCAAACAGGCTCTCTCCCATCCCAAATATGTGATAAACTAGTATCCCATGTAGCCTTTAAATCTCAATTCCTATGGGTGAAGGCAAATAACTGGTAGCTGAAAATTAAAAACTAACCCAAAAAATATATCATAGTACTTCTGTTAGTAATCATAATTTATTAACTGCAGATTTAAAAAGAATCTATTTCTGTGTCTGTGGGAATAGTTTAAAAAATGATGAAACACTTTTGTGAAGTTGATCGCACTTATGAAATCTACAAACCAATCAAATTCAAAGGTAATTAGAATTAGAAATGTAGCATGACAATTCTCATGTTTATTTATTTATATCCTGAGGGGATGCGATGGCGCAGCAGCTTAATAATGCTGGAACTGCCACCCAGAAATAGTCTGTATTCCAGCAGTTCAAGCCCAACTCTGTGAGATGGGGTGAGTTCCCGCTGCTTGCTCCCCGGCTCCTGCCCACCCAGCAGTTCTAAAGCATGAAATATTGCAAGTAGATAAATGGATACCACTTTGGTGGGAAAAACATAGCTGCGTTCATATATGCGGAGAGCGGAAGCCAGTGCTGGACCTGGCTGGATGTGAGGCAATGCAACATGAGGCAAGGGGAGACCAGAGGGGGAGCCGGGAAGAACCAGCAAACCAAGTGCCGCTAGTCAGCTGGTGTAAGCTAGTTTGCTCCCCGTGGTGCACCAAGGATAAGCACACAAGTGTTGAACAGAATGAACTAGCAATGTAGGCTGTCAGGACTGCATTGTGTCTAGTGTTTGTAGATTGCTATATGCCATAAGCTAAATAAATAAATATTTATATCCTGCCTTTATTATTTTTAGAAATAATTCAAGACAGCTAACATATCCAACACACCTTCCCAGTGAGATAGGTTGAGCTGAGACAGAGTGACTGGCCCAAATTCACCCAGCTGGCTTTCATGCCTAAGGTGGGACTTGAACTCACAATCTCCCGCTTTCTCTGTTTTAAAAAATATAAATTTGCACAGAAGAAAAAATGAAATTCTTACCGTCTCCATCAGGAGTACAGCAGAAGCAACAGCGAGCTACCTACAACAGAGACACAAAACCAAAAGGTTTTTTCCACTAATTCAGAAACAAGTAAGTTAGCACTGATACTCTTCAAAATATTGCAATGAAACATTATTAGTAAAAGGACACACATTTCCATTTTCGTTCAAAGGACCATGGTACCATGATTTTTATACTGGCAACTTTTTCTTTTGTCAATAGCTTACATTAAAAACAAAAGAAAAAGAAATATATGCCTGAAAAGAATGGATTTTGCTCTTAGATTTTTCTCTTTTAAGGCAGAGATTGTTTTTTTTTATAATAGCAATATATAGGTGGTACTCCTTGCTTAATGATAGTAATTGAGACTGCAATTTCCATTGCTAAGCAATGTGGTCATAAAGCGAGACACCACATGCTTGCACGAGTCTCTGTTCCATCTTACAGAACTGAAACTTGTGACTTCCTTCTGGCTTTCAACAAGGAAAATCAATGGTGAAGCCAGCAGGAAGTTGTAAGTCCCTGTCAAAAGCTTTTCCTTCGGTGGCTAGCAAGGAGGCTGGCAGGCAGGTGAGTGCTATGGAGTGTGGCTGAGTGGTGGAGGGAATGGTGTGATGCAGGACTGCAGTGCAGTGTGAGTGCAGCACTCCCTCTTTGATTCAGGCTACAGAGCATGCGTGTGGCAAGGCTGAGGAGTGCACAGCTCTGTGGTGTGCGACTGCAATGGACTTGTGTGCATATGGTGCAAGGGTGGTGGGGCTAGGGGTGCACAGCTTGAATATAGCTGGGCTGGGTGTGTGTGTATGTCATCTGTGAGTGCAGCTAGTCACCTGCTCACCCTGCTGCCCAGGGACTCCTTGGGATAGAAAGTGGTGGGAGCAGGAGCAACTTACAATCTTTCCTGCCAGTTTCCCCACTGACTTCGTGGGAAGCCAGCAGGGAAGGCCACAAATAATGATATAACCATGGGATATTGCAACTGTTGTTAAGTGCAAGCCAGTTGCCAAGTGCCTGAATCATGATCACTTGACTGCATGGACACTGCAATGGGCACAATTTCAAGTTCTTGAAATGTTAAGTCCCACTTACTCAGTGCTGTTGTAACTGTGAATGGTTGTTGAACAAGTGGTCAGTCAGCAAGGACTACCTGTAGTTAGTTAGCTATATAATTTTGTGATCATATTAATATGCATATTAATAAATAGGATTTTAAAGATAAATTAATTTTTTTAAAAAAAAATCTGTATAAAGTATTTTTAAAAGCAAAGGAATATGCCTCAATTTTGATAAATGTTATTACAGCAAGAAAGTACATTCTGTAAAGGCATGTTTCATTTTGACAATCTCTAATTATGTTCTTCCAAATAACTATGAACACCAAAATAGCAATGTAAAAAGTTATGTTTAGCAGATATTCTGGTCTCGTAAATCCTTGCAAGATGCAGTTAGCAATGTTGCCATGCATATAAAGAGTCCTTCACAATGTGACTAACAGTCAAGTTCAGATGCAAGAAAGCCTCTCTATTTAAAAGAAGCAGCTGGAGAATTATGTTTACATTTCTAATCAGGAGACAAAAGAGCTTCTGTCACAGGGAAGAATGAGACCTACAATTAGTTGCCTGCTGCTAGTCTTCTCTTTATGTTTCCCCTACAATAGTTCTTGTAGTGCTCTTTAAGAGCAAATGATCTAAAAATAACACTATTATGGTATACTCCAGTACTACATTTCTGAGCTCTCCCATGCAGCCTGGACTATTGTCCTAGACAGCATCCATCTGTGCTGGCTCTTGCTTAGCACAAGAACACTGTTTTCTAATAGCACTGTCTGAAGTGGCAAGCATGTGATACCACATGTCGCAACTTTGACACTGCTGCTAGTCCAAACAAAATGGAAAGGATAACAATGACAGCAACATTATAGAAGGCATTAAAATAGATTAATATCCAATGTCCCAGACAAGACATTGAGGCCTTTTTGAAATATCTCTTTGAATGCTAACATTTCAGTAGCACCTGAAAAAAGTACCAACTGGTAGGATATTAACATAAAAACTGGTTTTAGATCTTCTGTTAATTAAAACAAATTGGCAGCCACAGATACTAAAAACTGAATTGTGTTTATATTTGATTGTGTTTATACAAGCCAAATCAAGGTGAAGATAGTTGGTATGTGGACTTGCCCTGGAAATATAAGGCATCACAGGTATGATATTAGGACACTGAATATTGTGGCTTGATCTCCTTGAAATTATAATGCTGCATTTTTTTTCCCTTCTCCACATAACATAGAAGGGACTGTGGACCATAATAGAATTAGTATCTACATATCCACCCTAGTTTAAAATACATTTACCACCTCTCTAAATTCTATTGTTTTGTCTTCTAAGCAAATAGCCTGCATCCACAATAGTTAGAATCTTCCTCAGCAAAAACTCTCTAGTTTTCATAATATGAAACTATGTTGAATTGCTAGATGAGCTTCAATAGATAGTAATATAGCAAATAAACAAAATATTTAAGAACTATAATAATAAAACATGAAAATATGCAACTCTGTGTGATAATTTCTTACATTGTTATAATCTCTGAATCCAAATCTTTCTCCTGAAAGAATACAACACTATAATCGTATCTTATAGTTATTTGCTACTATACATCAAGGTAGGGATCACTTTTAGAATAACTAACCATGAAATCTGGCCAAACTACATGTTTGCGTTTGTAGACTTGCTCTAATATGAAAGCTTCACTATGCAGACTTCTGTTTCACCAGGGGAGAGAGAAGAGGGCATCATGCCAATAAGACAACAAGACTTAAGAAAAGGACCATCTAATCAGAAGAGACACTTTTTTACAGTTAACCTCAGCCTACCTTGTTTGTTGAAGCGTCTATATTAAGGTGGCAATTCAATAGCCTTCAACTTTGGAATGAGAGAAGAATCTGTTCTGATTTGACTTGGGCATCTTTTAAAAGCTAATCAGAAAATGGAGAAAAGGTTAAAGGGAAAGAGAGGAATGTCTACTGTAGGTGTGGATGTCTCATCATGAAGCCATCCGTTTTCAGCTAAAGCAGGGATGTCCAACCTTGGCAACTTTAAGACTTGTGAACTTCAACTTTCAGAATTCCCCAATCAGCCATACTTCCTTCTGGCTGGGGAATTCTGGGAGTTGGAAGTCCACAAGTCTTAAAAGTTGCCAAGGTTGGACATCTCTGGGCTAGAGCAATGGGTTGTGTGACAATGCTGACTCACTTCTGTTTCAGGTGTTGCATATATCCCTCTGAGTGCTTCGGAGCTTGCTCGTGTTGTTGAGGTCAAACTAGAGAAAAAAACAGAAAGGAAAGATGGTTCTGCAATAATACTGTATATTGATGTAGGAGGGATATTTTATTTTCCTAACAACATATAAAACAGTTTCAACAAGATGCTAGTTCCTATGCCATTAAATTTAATATAGACCAGGGGTTCTCAACCTTGGTAACTTTAAGACTTGTGGACTTCAACTCCCAGAATTCCTCAGCCAGCTTTGCTTTGCTGGCTGAGGAATTCTGGGAGTTGAAGTCCACAAGTCTTAAAGTTGCCAAGGTTGAGAATCCCTGATATAGACGCTTTCAAGTTCAAAGAGCCTTGATTCATGTAAGCTGCCTCTACCATGGAAAGCAAGTAAAAACTTGATAAAAATGGTCTATTCTAGTTTTTTTTCCTCCTGTTCAATCATATCTGATTCTTGGAGACTGAATAAGGCAGGCATTTATGTTGCGATGTCCTGGGGTCATGACTACCATCTGTGACCATCCTAGCTGATTTCCGACAGGCAAAGTAAATGGGGGAAGCTGGTTTCGCTTAAGAACCACACGATTCACTTTTAACAACTGGAGTGATTTGCTTAACAACCCTGGCAAAAAAGGCACCCTTCACGATTCACTTAACAACTGCCATGCTTAGCAATGAAAATTTTGGGCCCAATTTTGGTTTTACGTTGAAGACTACCTGTGCCTTGTATAGTAAAGGTAGCCCTTGATCTACCACTGTTTGATGATAGTTCGAATTTAGAAGAGTCTCAGAAAAGGTTACAACCCGTCGCATTACCCTAGTTCTTGGATATCAGCTCATACTTGCTAAAGTTGGTGCGAACTTCCCAGCCAGCTTCCAACAGGAAAAATCAATTGGGGAAACTGGATTTGCTTAATAACTGTGTGATTCACTTAACAGCCTCAATAAGAATGGTCATAAAATCAGATCGGGTCATATGAAGTCTTTTAAAGGCTGCATTGCTCAGCAACCAAACTTTTGATCCCAACTGTGGTCACAAGTCAAGGACTACCTGTAGTTTTCAATTAAGTCATTTTCCAATTCCTTAAATAAAAATGTTACATATTTTTAAATTTGATAGATAACAAGCTATGGAAGAAAGATGTCAAATACTTACTCCCCTCTGAGAGGTAAACAAGTATCTGTCTATCTGCATAAAATTTTATTACAGCTGAAATGAAGACTTACCAGGAATATAAAATGCAACAGAACAAAATAGTAGTTCCCAGCCCGGTCACCAAGTTTTCATCTGTTTGCAGCCCTTGGCCAAAGTCAGGCACACAGATTGTTATATTATTTTGATTCTCATCTAGGACTTGAAAAAGAACCCACAATTAGCTCAATTAATTTTATATTTCCTGTATCCAATTATCTACATATGCTTTACCCTGGATAATGATGTGTTCCCTTTTTTCCAATTCCCTCGAATTTCCTGCATCTCTTAATTAGCGGAAGATCTTCTAAGTCTGTGCAGATGATTTCTGAACTATATGAGGCCTGCTGGAGGAGGAAGGTTTGACTCCCTCCTTTGATTTTAAAGATGGAGATTATTCATCTTTACAAATTACTTTTAAATAGGAAAAATATTATTGCAACTGATTGGGATAAACATCTGAAGAGAGAACTTACAAGATAAAGTTGCTCCTTGCTATTCCCTTCTCTTTAACTAGATGTATTAATTGATTATAGTATCTCTTACACAATACTTTTTTGGTAGGGTGACTGGGAGTTTCCAGTATGGTGATTTCAAAGTGTGTGCTGGACATTCAGAATTGCCAATTAGCACAAGCAACATAAATTGGAAAGTGTGACTTTGGGAGAAGGATTATTTTACATAGATAATCAGTGCACATGTATCTGTTAATTTCTAATTCAAGGTAACTTACTGATTTCTGGAGGTTTGCTTGACAGAGATGAGAAGGTGAGGTACATGACATAGCAGCTGATAATGCCTGACTGCAACAAGCCAGAATGAGGCTGACCTGTAATTTTAAAACAGGGATACATCTGTAGACTTTTCTTTGGCAAAAAGGTTCATACTGTAAATAATGTTGAGTTCATGGACCTTGAATCTTTAATTAATTAATACCCCTCCGAAAGGCACCCCTCACCGAAATGGCTTTGTGGATCCGGAGCGGCCCACCAAACAGCCGCTGAGTGAGTTGGGGCTTTCCCTACGCCTGAACTCTCCAGCGGAGCTGCAGCTGCAAGCTCCGCTCACAAACGCGTTACTGTTGGCTGGACTAACAGCCGTTAGTCCAAGCCGCTGATAGTTCAGGTCCCTTCTTGGGGTAATGGGAGGGGGTATGTGGAAGGGGATAGGACCCCGTCCCCAACGAGGCCTGATACCTCCCCAGTGAAGGAATTTAGGTATCTCTAGCCTTTCTTTGGAATGGAAATTTCAGAATTTGCAATGATCTAATTCAAATAAATAATCCAATTAACTAAGCTACTGGAAATGAAATCCACCAATGGTAGACTGTACTTGCCTAAGAGCCAAACTTGCATGTCTGTCCAGTGGGCGAGATCAATCAAGATTGGGATCTTGTGGCCCAGGACGGGCATGGCAACTTTGGCTGACTGATCTGATTGGGCAGGAATACAGTCTCAACCCATTGGTGGATTCTCCATCTCCAGTGCTGGAGAATGTATGAGGATTAGATCTCTCTGAAAATTATAACAAATCCTTCACATTACTTCTCTCTGCTATTCTGCTAGTCCATCAAAAGAGGGACAAATAATTCAATTCCTGAATGATGTTTTCTGTCATCAAAGTATATCAAAAGTTCAAGAGGATAAAATGAATCTTGAGAAAATACAAACAGCTGAGAAAAGTCAAATTAAACCCGAAATCTAAATCTCAATTTAACACACAAAAATGTACTTTCATTTCCCTGGAATAACCACATTGAGGGGAAAGGGTGTTGGGGAAACCAAGCACATACCAAGCACTAATGGTTTAGATATAGATTTAGTCGTATTTAGAGCAACCTCCCTGAAATCAAAGAACATAAAGAAGTTCTGACTAACAGAAGTCCCTTTCATTTCAAAAGGAGTTCTTTAGGGATGGGTATTCCTTCCAGATCTTAGAAGATACCGCAGAATCCCTTCAGATATTGACATAAGATTGAAGTTTTTAATGTGACCCACAGGAAATGATTAAATAATGGGGAGTAATCATAAACAGAAATGTAAAAAAAAGAAAAGAAAAAGTTGTTTCTTCACCATTTCTCAATTCCTGAAACAATCTTTAGTTCTTGCTAGTACTCATTTAATAAAAAATCTGAGGTCCTAGGCTATAAATTTCCAAGTCCAATAATAAATATCTCCTTTCCACAATATAGATAACAATAGAACTCTAATTACATATTGAATTTTATAAGTGATTTTAATTTTAGTGCATCATTTATTTATTTATTTATGAGACTTATATACCGCTTTCTCTAAGCGGTGTATACCAGTAAGCAATGTATGTATGTATGTATGTATGTATGTATATATATATATATATATATATATATATATATATATATATATATATATATATATATATATATATATTTACATTGCCCCCAACAATCTGGGTCCTCATGGGGTTATCTCTGTAGTAAATAATAATGCAAACATTCCCTTAGGAATAGGATGTAAGAAATCGCCTTGAATTGAGTATACTTTGACTAGCTGTGGTCTACATCTCTAGAGGAAGCATTTTACATGATTTTCTGTTTAGTTTAAGAGTCGAAAGCCAGGAATTGAACTTGGGATTAGCTTCATGGAAAACATGCTCTCTCTCACTGAGTTACCACAATGATGTAACTTGACTCTCCTGGGGAACCTTACATGAGTGGACTGACAAAAATAGCAGTGGATATAAATCGATTCCCTTCCACAAAGGTTTCAGCTAATATGCCAGAGATCATGGCTGACAGACCAAATAATCTTGAAATTAAACCGAGTTACTGAAAGTCAGGCAATAGGGCAATTAGTAATTCCAGATTTAGGTCTTATAGTGGTCTCTCCATTACTTCAGAATAAATACTATATTATCGCAGAAAATGATTTTTAAAATTAAGGCAGTAAAATCAATCTTGCCTACCATGCCTTATAACTACTGTCTTTTATAAACAAAACAATATTTAGTTTGCAGGCTCACTTTGCTCCAGACTGAATATGAGGCCTTTTTTTCTACTACTGGTCTCATGACCTGACCTTTTTTGAGCAGTCTTTTTATTTTTTCCCAGACTATGATTTGTGATAAACTAAGGGACTGAATATGGCTAGGAAATGATCTCCAATTCCAAGCAACCAAGTCTAGAGTGACAGTAAAAGAAAGCTTGCTTACGGTATTGGACACAAGGTGAAATGGCTACCATTGAAACAAGCAAGCACAAGCCGCCATTGATGCCAAGCAGGATCTTGTTAAATGTACAGCCATCAGCACGGGTATAAAAGACAGCCATCACAATTAGAGCTCCAACAGCAACGGAATACAATATGAGAGTCACAAGAGCTAAGGAGCCATACCAAAGTTGATTGTGCTTTGTGCCAGATGTCCTGTTTGGGAAAGAAAAGGAATTATGCATTAAGCTCAAAGAAAACAAATGATATTAAGCATTTAGAAGCCCACAAAGGAGATTAGTTCATTAGGCCTATGTGAAGTGGATAAAGAATTAATTCTTTATACAGAAAGATATTGTTCTTTAGAACGGGTGTTCAATTATTATTTTAAATTTATAGGATATTCAGATTAATGCATTTTAATAGTTTGTACTGTGTCTAGTTATACCAGCAATATATTGAGTAATATTTAAATTATTTCACTCTTTAAGAGCATGGTCTCATGTATCTTATGATCAGCCTAAAGTTAGGTTTCTCTTGAAATTTGCTGGGGAGATGGGAAGTAAAACTTGGGGACAGATCAGTGACTTCCCAGCTCCGCTTAAAAGACGCATATTTCTAAAAAGATATTATTTCTTTAATATTTAAAGGAACGTATGTGGGATATGTACACAGATTAATTTGTAATCAATTTGGTGAAACTCTCAAGGCTAAAAATGACACTGCTTTGTTTTATGAAAATTGAAATGATTGATTTAAGACAATCAAAAGTTTACTTCAGGATGTATTTGGAAAGACTAAAGCTATTTCTTCTAAATTTAGAGATTACAATAACAAGATCTAAGAACCTTGAAAAATGTGTATATAAGGAAGTTAGGACATTTCAGTAATTGTTAAACCCCATAAAGATTTAGATTTTATCTGTAGATTAAGATTTTAGCTCTCTTATGAATGTCACACATTTTTTAAAAACGAAACTAAGATAACCAGCTGAGGAAATATTGTAGCAAGCTTGTTTGGCCAAGTGAAAAGTACAACAGGCAATAAATAGGAAGTAAGATATTTATAAAGCTACAAACAAAGGAAGCTTGATGGTTAAAAACAAAGAAACAACTGACGAGAGAAACTGAACGAGAATGCCTGCTATAAAACTTTAAAACAGATCAACTGTGATTTTGATTTTTTTAAAATTTTAAAAATAGAATTCAGCTAAAAGGACACTTCCTCTTATATGCAGGCATGAAAGAAACCTACCAGTTTTTATTCCATTTGTGTGCAAATTCTACAAGGAGGATAAGCTGAATGATGATGAAGAGGAAGCCTCCTGTAGCACCAACATAACGCCATGCTGCAGAAAACATAAAAATTGCTTTGTTGATTATGACTCATAAAGAAAAATACCAATTTTATTCATTACATTTATAAAGCAATTAAATTATGGTAAGGAGGTTACCCCCTTTATGGATTACTGCCTTGTCGTGGCGAAGGGGCTTGCGTAACTCAATGAAGCTATAAGCTATGCCGTGCAGGGTCACCCAAGACGGACAGGTTATAGCAGAGAGTTCTGACAAAATGTGATCCACTGGAGAAGGAAATGGCAAACCACTCCAGTATCTTTGCCATGAAAACCCCATGGACAGTACTAAAAGGCAAAAAGATATGACGCTGGAAGATGAGCCCCTCAGGTCGGAAGGTGTCCAATATGCTACTGGGGAAGAGCAGAGGGCTAGTACTAGTAGCGCCAGAAAGAATGAAGCGACTGGGCCAAAGCCGAAAGGACGCTCAGCTGTGGATATATCTGGTGGTGAAAGGAAAGTCCGATGCTGTAAAGATTTTTTCTCCATAGGAACCTGGAATGTAAGATCCATGAATCAAGGCAAGCTAGACGTAGTCAAAAAAGAGATGACAAGACTGAACATCGACATCTTAGGAATCAGCGAACTAAAATGGACAGGAATGGGTGAATTTAACTCAGATGACCATCAGGTATACTACTGTGGGCAAGAATCCCTCAGAAGAAATGGAGTAGCCTTCATAGTCAATAAAAGAATAGGAAAAGCAATACTGGGATACAATCCCCAAAATGACAGAATGATCTCAATTCGAATCCAAGGCAAACCATTCAATATCACAATAGTCCAAATCTATGCCCCAACCACTGGTGCTGAAGAGGATGAAATTGACCGGTTCTATGAAGCCCTACAGCACCTTATAGAATTAACACCAAAAAATGATGTCCTTATCATCATGGGGGATTGGAATGCTAAGGTAGGAAGCCAAAAGATAACCGGAATAACAGGCAAGTTTGGCCTTGGAGAACAAAATGAAGCAGGGCACAGGCTAATAGAATTTTGTCAAGAGAATACGATGGTCATAACAAACACTCTTTTCCAACAACCCAAGAGACGGCTCTACACATGGACATCACCAGACGGTCAACATAGAAATCAGATTGACTATGTGCTCTGCAGCCAAAGATGGAGAAGCTCTATACAGTCAGTAAAAACAAGACCAGGAGCTGACTGTGGCTCAGATCATGAGCTTCTCGTTGCAAAATTTAGGCTTAAATTGAAAAAAGTAGGGAAAAGCACTAGGCCACTCAGGTATGAACTAAATCATATTCCTGATGAATATACAGTAGAGGTGACAAATAGATTTAAGGAACTGGATCTGATAGACAGAGTGCCTGAAGAACTATGGATGGAAGTTCGCAACATTGTACAAGAGGTAGCAACTAAAACCATCCCAAAGAAAAAGAAATGCAAGAAAGCAAAATGGCTGTCTCAGGAAGCTTTGCAAATAGCTGAGGAAAGAAGGGAAGCGAAAGGCAAAGGAGAAAGAGAAAGATACACCCAATTGAATGCAGAATTCCAGAGAGTAGCTAGAAGAGATAAGAATGCCTTCTTAAATGAACAGTGCAAAGAAATAGAAGAAAACAACAGAATAGGGAGGACCAGAGATCTCTTCAAGAAAATTGGAGATATGAAGGGAACGTTTCATGCAAAGATGGGCATGATAAAGGACCAAAATGGCAGAGACCTAACAGAGGCAGAAGAGATTAAGAAGAGATGGCAAAACTACACAGAAGAACTATACAAGAATGAGCTTAACATCCCAGATAACCACAATGAGATGGTCACTGACCTCGAACCAGACATCCTAGAATGTGAAGTGAAATGGGCCTTAGAAAATCTGAGCAACAACAAAGCTAGTGGAGGTGACAGTATTCCAGCTGAGCTATTCAAAATCTTAAAAGACGATGCAGTAAAAGTGCTACACTCAATTTGCCAGCAAATTTGGAAAACTCAACAGTGGCCACAGGATTGGAAAAGGTCAGTTTACATTCCAATTCCAAAGAAAGGCAATGCCAAAGAATGTTCAAACTATCGCACCATTGCACTCATTTCACATGCTAGTAAAGTTATGCTTAAAATCCTACAAGCTAGACTCCAGCAGTATGTGGATCGAGAACTACCAGAAGTACAGGCAGGATTTCGAAGAGGCAGAGGAACTAGAGATCAAATTGCCAACATACGCTGGATCATGGAGAAAGCTAGGGAGTTCCAGAAAAACATCTACTTCTGCTTCATTGACTATGCAAAAGCCTTTGATTGTGTGGATCACAACAAATTGTGGCAAGTTCTTAAAGAGATGGGAGTACCAGACCATCTCATTTGTCTCTTGAGAAACCTATATGCGGGTCAAGAAGCAACAGTGAGAACCGAACACGGAACCACTGATTGGTTCAAAATTGGAAAAGGAGTCCGGCAAGGCTGTATACTGTCGCCCTGCCTATTTAACTTATATGCAGAGCACATCATGAGAAAGGCAGGGCTAGATGAATCAAAAGTTGGAATTAAGATTGCCGGGAGAAATATCAACAACCTAAGATATGCAGATGATACCACTCTAATGGCAGAAAGTGAAGAGGAACTAAAGAGCCTCTTGATGCGGGTGAAGAAGGAGAGTGCAAAAGTTGGCTTGAAACTCAACATTAAGAAAACCAAAATCATGGCATCCGGCCCTCTCAATTCCTGGCAAATAGATGGGGAAGAAATGGAGGTAGTGACAGATTTTATTTTTCTGGGCTCCAAGATCACCTCAGATGGGGACTGCAGCCAAGAAATTAAAAGACGCTCCTGGGGAGGAAAGCTATGGCAAATCTAGACAGCATTCTAAAAAGCAGAGACATCACCCTGCCAACAAAAGTGCGTATAGTCCAGGCCATGGTTTTCCCAGTTGCAATGTATGGCTGTGAAAGTTGGACCATAAGAAAGGCTGAGCGCAAAAGAATTGAGGCCTTTGAACTGTGGTGCTGGAGAAGACTCCTGCGAGTCCCTTGGACTGCAAGGCGTTCAAACCGGTCGGTCCTAGAAGAGATCAACCCCGACTGCTCTTTAGAAGGCCAGATCCTGAAGTTGAAACTCAAGTACTTTGGCCACCTAATGAGAAGGAAGGATTCACTGGAGAAGAGCCTAATGCTGGGAAAGATTGAGGGCAATAGAAGAAGGGGACGACAGAGAATGAGATGGCTGGATGGAGTCACTGAAGCAGTAGGTGTGAATTTAAATGGACTCCAGAAGATGGTAGAGGACAGGAAGGCCTGGAGGAACGTTGTCCATGGGGTCGCGATGGGTCGGACACGACTTCGCAATTAACAACAACAAGGAGGATACTCTTTACATACATTCACCAGATAAATATATATATATATTTGCTCAAAAATATTTCACAAAATCACGCTCCTTTCTAGCAACTACTTCTATTATTATGGACTGAAATTATTACTCAGTATTGAGAAACACAGGGTAATAATTATTATTATTAAATTTTAAAAACAGGTTCCCATTATATAATGCATGAATATTAAAAACTAAAGACTGCACACATAACATTAAAGGACTACGTCTATGGAGATTTTCAGTCATCCAGGTCATAGTTATCCCAAAGATGCTTTTTCACGAGGCAACTGGACTTTGTTTTTCCTTGAAGATGTTCCGCTTCTCATCCAAGAAGCTGAAGAATCAAAAGGTCTTCAAAGAAAAACAAGAAAGTTCAGTTGTCTCATGAAAAAGCATCTTTGGGATAACATCAAAGGAATACACAGGCACACACACACACACACACACACACACACACACACACACACAAAAAGACACCTATAGCAAATTAAATTATTTTGCAAAACTGCAGAAAATTAAAAAAAATACTTTAGGCAATTTATACTTAAAACAAACGGTTAAAAAAATACATGAGTCCTAAAAAGTCTTTATATAAATACATTTCAAATTATAGCGTAGGATTAAAATTTGATAAATTTTCCAACATATAGCGACTGCCATCCAAACAACAGAAATAAAGCATTTATTGTTTTATGAAACCCTCAAATCATCCTGTATATATTTCTATCTTCATAATGAATGTCTACTCTCATAGTTTATTCACAGGGGAAAAAAGAGAAACAGACAATCTGTAATAGCCTTCTTTTTTGCCTCTAAGATATTTTGGGTTTGGGCCACACTGGCAGAGAATTATTGGAGGTTGCCTTCAATATATTTGGACAGACCAAGTACTGGAAAGCTACTCTACAATTAAAGCAGCTCCTGTTCACAGATAAAATTTGCATCAGCTATTGGCAATGCACATTATGTCACACCCGAAAAGAATTCAAGAAGTGCCAGTACAATTACAGAAGCAACTGAATGCAGGGAGTGGTTATACTGCTGGTTGCATTTAGCTAGAGGACATTATGACCTATAATTTTAGATAAACAAGAGAAAGCTTTCTGCAGTGAGTATTCATAATGAAGGCTGATATTTTATGCTATGCTAGTATCGGGCTTGCTCTCCAGATGCTGGGCAATGAATTGAATGAGTAAAGGAATGAACTAGTTAATTCGGTGTTCAAAGAGCTACAAGTCTCAGATTTGAAAAAAGCTGCTCTTTTTGAAGAAATGCCTTAGTACGAGGATAATATCTTGCAACTTCTGTCAGTTATTCAGCTTAAAAGTGGAAATGGTTTGAAAAAGGTTTCTGATCATAAATATCATGTTAAATGGATTAAAAAACACTGTCAAATGTAGTATGTCACTCAGGGTCACTATTTGTGAATTGAGTGGCTATACAAATTTGATAAATAAAATTCAAAAATCAAGATTGTGCTGCACATGTCCTTGAGCACTCTATTTTCTTTTTCCTCCAGAGTTTGGACTCTGCCATCTTCAAGCATTTGTGACTAACAAATTGCCTTTATTAATTGGAACTGTTATCAGATATTACTACCGAGAAAGATTATTTTAGTAATAAAATGGAAGCTCTGCAAGAAATCTCATTTTGCATAGTAAATGTAATCAAACTGAAGGCTAATTAAACTGCAGGAACGTTTAAGTGCAGTGGCTGCTGGCCTACCCCAATAGAAGAGCAAATGCAGTTTGCTTCAACTGTTATACATCAGGAACTAATTGAAAGTTTAATTTCTGCAAGCTATATAGTTCAGCTACACAATGAGCATTGTGGTAACATTTGAGGAACATCTGAACTTTAAAATACTCTTTCCCAGACAGAGAAGCTGTGGTGACTGCAGCTTCCTTGCTAAGGTAGGGCACATTTTTGGAAAGGGGAAAGAATTTAAGCTGAGAAAGATCAACTTTCCCTTCAACATTCTTTGCCTTATCTTCCTTCTGCAACATCTTCTTTTCTGCCTCTCCTTCACTCCCCATGTCTTTCCCAATGCAAACAAGAAGCTGGCTTTTAATTTCTTGCACAGTTGGCCTTTTATTGTACAGCCTCATTTGAATTGTGCAAGATTTGTTATCGAAAAACAATTTAGAAACAAAAAGTGATGTGCTATTGTAGAAGAGTTATTTTAAACTAAGAACTGCTTAATTAGGTAAGACAAAATTATGAAATAAAAGAGAGCTTTACATCTGCTTTGTTTTCTTGAGTTTGTGGACAATGCTACACTGTATTGTTAACTACAGCATCCAGCATTTTCTGGGGTGTTTGGCCCATAATAAAGTATGAGGCTATATTTCTGCAGCTGGAATTATTTATATTCATCAGATTTATATTTCCACATTTAACATGCTTAAGAAGAAGCACTATCATCTGAACCATTATCTGGAGGAGGAGGAAGATTAATTTACTGTGTGCTCTCAGACTTTAATAATGTTTCTACATAGCTATTTTTCATGGTCTAAACAACAAAGTACAATCCAAACAGTATACACAATCAACATAGATCTGTAAAATTCTTGTATCTGAGTCTTTCACAATTACTTTCTAACTAAAATGAGCTGAACATGGGGAAACAGCTGCACAACATCTGCAAAAATAACAACACACCATTAAAAAATAACAATCATCTCTTGAGGTATTAACTAGAGTAATCCAGCAAGATGAACAGATTCAAGGTTTGGAGATCAAGAAAGAGACATTTAAAATACAAGCCTTTGCAGATGATTTAGTTTTTATAATTGAAGAACCATTGAAGAACCATTACAATCAGGGACAAGACTGATGGAAACACTGAGTAGATATGGGGAAATAGCAGGTTTAAAGATAAATAAATAAAAAACTAAAATGCTCATCAAAAATATGACTAAAATACAGAAAAATGAATTGGTTGACAGAATAGGTGTTCAAATCACAAATAAAATTAGATATTTAGGGATATAATTGACTGCCAGGTGTGCTACACTTAAAAGGGATAACTATGATAAGTTAATAGAACAGATTCAAAAAGACTTTGATATTTGGAATAACCTACAGCTCTCTCTTATGGGCAGAATTGCGGTGATTAAAATGAATGTGTTGCCAAAAATCTTATTCTTGTTCCAATGTATACCTATAAAATTAGACAAGAAATTTTTTCAAAATTTGAATAAAATGATGTGTAAATTCATCTGGCAAGGAAAAAGAGCAAGGATTAAATTATAATTATTGCAGGACTCAAAGGAAAGGGGGGGATTTGGTCTTCCAGACTTGGAGAAATATTACCAGGCTACAGCATTAATATGGGTAAGAGATTGGATATTACCAAAGAACAGGAGACTATTATGTCTGGAGGGCCATGACCTACAAATAGGATGGCATGCCATATTATGGGATCATAAAGTACATAAATATTTTCGAAGACACTATATTAGGCAAGCTCTTATTGATGTATGGACAAAAATTTGGCAACCAAATTATACCCAAGTATCTAGTTGAATCTCACCGTTAGAAATATATGTACACCCAAAATTTACCCAATTAGACAAGACCATAACATATAAAAACATCTTAGATGAAAGAGGGGAATTGAAATCCAGGAAAACCCTCCAGGATGAAGGGATAGAATTAGAATGCTGGGCATACCTGCAACTGCAGGCGAGATATCAGAAAGATAAAAAAGAGTTAGGCATTAAATTAGAACCAATAGAATTGGATAAAATAATATTGGGGTTGGAGGATAAAATGATTAAAAAATTATACCACTATTTGTTAGATCAGGCAATGTATGAGAAACAAGTAAAAGTGACTATGTTGAATTAGAGCAAGGACTTTGGTCTTAATTTTGATCTGCACATCTGGCAAGAACTATGGGCAAGAAACAAGAAGCTTACTTTGGCCACCTCTTACAAAGAGAACCTCTACAAAATGTTTTATAGATGGCATTTCCCACCCACAAGATTGGCTAAAATGTGTACCAATGTCTCCCCTAAATGTTGGAAATGTAATCTGACAAGTGGAACATACTATCATATGTGGTGGGAATGCACACGAGCTTGTGATTTTTGGAACAGGATTAAAGTATGGTTGGAAGAAATATTAGAGTGAGTGGTAGAACCAAAACCAGAACTCTTTCTATAAGGTTTAACTACGCAAAAGCATGACAAAGGTGTACTTTATTTAATGTTACACATTTTAACGGCTTCCAGACTGGTTTTTGTCAAAATTGGAGGAATAAGGGAACTCCAACGGAAGAAGAGATCCTGCATAAAATTTTATCATGCATAAAATTTTATCATGTGCTGAGATGGACAGGCTTACAATGATTATGAAAGACAAGACAGAACACGAATACTTCGAAATCTGGGACAAATTTTACCGTTGATTTGAATTAAGGAGAACTGCTCGGACTTCAAAGTAATGTTAGAATGAAAAGATATATATAACTGTACATATAATTGTATATATAATTGTATTGTATAGAAGGATGAGGCTTATATAGAGGTTAAGAATGATGTATTAAGTTTTTGTACCATGAGAAACAAGCTGTTAGGAAAATTCATTCTGGAATGTCATGTTTGTCCATTCTTGTTTTAATTGTATTATGAATAAAAAATTTAAAAAAATAACAATTCCAAGGCAGTTTTTGTATAACTTTAACTGTACATAATAGTGTGCAAGTTTGATTTAATCTACATCCTTCTACAATCCTATCACCCCTATGCTATGTCTTTGTCTAGAGTACAGATGCCCACTTCTGTTCATTTTTCCAGAAAGAAACCGGACTGGTATAAAAAGGCACCATTCTATGGCTGTTTCTCTCAACAGCTACAATGGTTGTGAAAGACTGAATTTGTATCGAATGTAGCATACCTGTATGGCCTGTTAAACACGTATCCTTTGGTAAGCTGTAGCTCACTTTTATCTGCTGCATATAGTAGCTAGACTGAAGTACCATTTTAGTTAGGGTAAAGTAGAGAGGGAGGAGAAAAAGGGGAAAGCAGGTTGGTTATGTACAAGCAAATTATATGTGAGATAGATTATGAGTACCTTATCAATTAACAACAACAACAATAACAATATGTTAGTTGTATGTTGGTAGAAGTTTTCTGAGATTGCCTAAATCTTTTGATGTATGTGAATGAGGCAATCTCTTGCTTAGTAGCGCTGTTAAAAATTTGGATTTTCCAAAACTGTCACTTTTACAAGTGCCAAAGAACACTTCCAGCTCTTTTCCTACAATATATCACCTGTAAAATGATACTTGTATATATTCAACCATAGAGAAAAACACACAACAGTTCTTTTTTAAAAATGTCTACCTTTAAGAAAGGTATCCTGATCTGGAATGAAAAAGGCTCCTGAGCACATTGCTGCCAAGATGAGAAGTTTAATAAACCAAAATCTGGAAAAGAAAAAAAAATAGGAAAAGAAAAAAAGAAAAATAGAATTACTTTAATATCTGACCAAAGGAAAAAATGTGGACAATAGATATAAGTAAGAGATAAACTATGTCATTACGTTGGTGAAGAAATGCAATTGTTTATAGTACTGAGTACCCAGTCAAAACTTTAATGAAAAAATCCATCTAGCTTACCCATTGTGGATGTAGGCACGACAGCTTTTGCTATTGTTGATTTTAATTGTGAGCAAAAAGATGATAAAAAAGAAACACGCCATTCCAAAACATACTCGATAAACTGCAGAGTAGCCCACCAGCTTCTCACAGGAGTCACCTGCTTGAATATGTTGACATATTGTTTCATAAAAATAAATCTGAAATGAACAATGAAGTACTGTAGATAAGATGCATGTTAACTGTGTATGATGACAACTGTATTAAGCAGTTTGGAGATAACTGTTACTTTCAAATTAATCAAGTCATCTTTATTTTATTTATATACAAAATTTAGAAACCATGCTGCTTCTTCATTTGCATTTCCTACCAATTCATTTCTGATTCATTCAACATGCTTTTTCATCAGCAATTGTGTAGTTTGCACAACAGCACGGGAAAACAGGAAGGCAAAACATATCTTTTGGGGTTCAAGTTGCCAACCTCTGCTGTGCAGGTGGTCCTTGTTTAACAGCCACTCCTTCAGTGATGGTTTGGATTTACAATGTGCTGAATGGGTGCAACTTATGACCGGTCCTCAAAGTTCTGGCTGTTGCAGTGCAATCACATGATGTTCATCATTTAACAACCCACACTTAATTACAGGAACCAGGAACTGGGAGAAATGCTTTTGCTAAGTGGCATAGTTATATGATGATGTGCTTTGCAACTGCATTCTTCAGCAATAGAAATTCCAGTCCCAATTACTTTTGTTAATTAAGGACTAGTTGCAAAGCATTATTTCTTGATGTTCTTTGAATGCTTAGAAGCTTTTTAAAACATTGCAGAAGTAAAACAGCAGAAAAGTGGGAAAATTCCAGCCCTCTCCTCATTTGCTTAAATATTTGCTTTTGAGGCCATACTTTATTGCACAGAAAAAGATCAACAAGTAACCCATTTTGGCTCAAGCTCACCACACAATTTTCAGCTACACCCAGAAATCATCTTAAAAGCATATTTCTATGTCCTTGGTTACATCCTAGGGCCGTGCCTCCTATGAAAATTTGTACCTACCCTCTCACAAATGGAACGGTCTATAAATAGATGCACTGACATATAAATATGCAGATATACATTCACCCACACCCATTTACAGTTAAATAAAAACTTCTCTATATCCTCATAGGTATGGAGTTCTGAAAGTAGCAACCAAATTGAACATTAATGTAGCTCGGTTTTTTCCTTCCCTTTCTTTTTTGGCTATAGACAACCATTCCAAGTTCAAAACATTTTTCCATGTTTAAACTCAGTTTGCAGAAAAACCTGAGAGGGTCTAGAGAAAAATAACGTAGAACATAAATTTAACTTAAACTAAGAAAATATAGAAGCTGTTATACAGAGTTCATGATAGAATGAAATGAAATGTTCTAAAACGGAAGTACTTTACTACTTAGTTTTTTTTTATATACGACAGCAGATGCAAATTTTGACTCCACCTCCTCCCTCCCCCAATGAAAAAGGAGTTCTGTGAGCAGAAAGCCAGCACAACAAATTGTAATGGTTAATCATAATGTGTTAAATGAGGGTGAGAGAACACATTCAATCATGAGGCTCAATGGGTAAGTTTAGACCAGTGTTTCTGAAACTTAACAATCTGAAGATATATTGACTTTAACTTCCAGAATTCCTCAGTCACCATGCTTTATTAAAGAGAGAAACAAAATTATGGGTACTTTAATTCACAATTATCAAAATTATGTGTGCCTCTCATAGGCCAAATGATTTCATGGTAAGTCTTAAAGTAATTACAACATTAAAGAACATAATGAAGAAAATTTTAAGGGATGAACATTTTAAAAAGACTGGATGGAAAGGCAAAGTCTAGATGCATTTCCACTTATCTTAGCTAATGTTAGCAACTTATGAATTTGAGAAAGTACGCCGCTCCAAACTGTTTTAATAATGTCTGGAAACATTTTTTTCAGCATAATAAACCAGGAACATAGCTAATGCTTTACTTTTTTCAGATATAGAATCATACCACGGTAATACTGCATTTAATTGATCAGGAGTAAAATTCTTTTTCCTGCCAAAACTCAGTTCTCTCATGAGTAGGACAAAGGAGAAGACTGAAACCTATTTTAGCTTATTCTGCACTTGCCCCTACCATTCACACACCCTTCTTTGCTTAAACTCTCTGCCCAATAAGCCACCAGGAAGACTTGCCAGAGGTGTTTTGAAAATCCTGGCTACATACAGCCTCTAATGCTGCAAAGTGTACTTCTCAGCACTAAACTGAGAAAATATATTAACTATAAAAATATATTATTAAATGTTCTCCCCCCACCCCGAGTGCTGGGTATGAAGCATATGAAGACAGCAGTAAACCAAACATTCAAAATCAACACAGTAAAATTATAAAAAAAGACAAGCACTAGCAAGCTATGCTACTCATCATGAGAAATCAATAGCACACTGCTTCACCAGCAACATTTACAGACAAGACTGTTTGAACAGTCTGGTCAACTTGGCTCACATTTTTTAACAGAAAAATGCGGCAATTTTAATAGATACTGACTGTAGGAAAATCTAAGGCCATACAAATCTTTGAACATTCACTTCCCCGTAGCTAAGGCAGAACCCTCCTACAGGGACCTGGTGGAGGATTGAGGCAGATGGTGTAGCATTTGTGGTCAGTTGTAAAGGTGAACAACTGCAGGAAGGGGGTGGGAGGAATTACAGTGGCTATAACCTTGGAACTGGGACATAAGTAGCTTGGGGGCGGGGTGACTGCCATAATGTTGACCAGTTGCTAAGGAACTGTTTGTAAGATGAGGACTATCTGTACTGATGTTATTTTAATTGTTGATTGGGAGCGGATTGGGACTTTGATATAAGATGGGCAACTATATAAATGTTTTAAATAAATAAAGCAATAGAGCTTGACTTGAAGAAGACTACTTCAAAAAATAATTAGCTGAGTAGAAACTAAATTACTACAATCTTAGAGGAATGGAAAACAGGCAAGAGTTCCAAAAAAGGATTAATTTGCATCCTCTCATTCAAAGCAGCTAAGTGCTCAAATTTCAGAGAGTAATAATTTTTTGTCTGAGGAAATAGTTATCCAGTGTATGGCTCTTCCTACTCTTCAACTTTCAAAGTGAAACACAGGATGAAACATTTGGCACTGCTGAACCACACACAGTTTGGGGTCTTTCAAAATGTTTGAAACAGTTTATTATAATTGCATATGAATATATGTTCACACACACACACACACACACACACACACACACACACACACACATACACACACACCTATGTTGTAAATGCTAAAGTATGACAAATTATGAGAACAGTCCAGTATCCATCATTACGCTTTCCAAAATTTTACAAAAGTCTAATATAATGTGCTTTATTCTGTAAATTTCAAAAATATCTTCTTTTCATTAAAGAAATTATTCTAGCATCTCTCCCTTTTTTCTCCTTGGATCCCCAAGAATTAAATGCTTTTACTTACATGTTCTTTCATTTGTTTTGCTACAGTTTCTGACATCATGATGCAACAGATGAGAGCCACCAAGATGAAGTACAAGGCATACATAAAGCGGGTGCTGGTTGATTGTTTTATCTTTGGGCAACAACGGCAGCAGAGGGAACATGCAGCAGTACCACAGCAACAGGCCAACTATAGAAGTAAAAAATAAAGGAAAAACATAATTTTATTTTGACATGGCAAAATAACAGCAAAATCTGTTCCACCTCCCAATATATCCATTTGTAACTTCTATTTATTCATTGTTTTATTTCTCTTCTCTTATTTTCGTTTCCCTTTTCTCAAAAACCGTTAATAAAAATATCCTGAGAATTAAAAATTGTAATGTTTTGGTATCTTTTTTGGTGAAAGAAAACCCTAAATGAACATTTTTTTTTAAAAAATAGAATGTCTTAGAAGGGCAAACAGTATATTTATATATGGGCTCATAATACCATCCAAATTGTTACATTTTATTAAAATAGTATAGTTCTATATCAGGCTGAGATAGAATTACAAACTTGTATTCTTGTTTTGACCCATCTTTGGCTATATAAAGTTTGTTTTTGGAATTACAGACTATATTGTTGAGACATTGGAAAGAGAGCAGAGAAAAGCAACAAAGATGATTAGGTGGCTAAAACATATGAAGAGCGGTTGCAGGAATTGGGTATGTCTAGTCTTGTGAAAAGAAGAACTAGGGGTGACATAATAGCGGTGTTTCAATATCTGAAAGGCTGACACAAAGAAGAGGGGGTCAACCTCTTCTCCAAAGCACCTGAAGGCAAGACAAGAAACAATGAATGGAAACTAATCAAGGAGAGAAGCAACCTAGAACTAAGGAGAAATTTTCTAATGGTGAGAACAATTAATCAGTGGAATGGTTTGCTTTAAGAAGTTGTGGGTGCTCCATCACTGGAGGCTTATAAGAAGAAATTGGATAGCCATTTGTCTAGAATGGTATAGGGCAGTGGTGGTGAACCTATGGCACGCGTACCAGAGGTGGCACTCGGAGCCCTCTCTGTGGACACGCGAGCTGTTGCCCCAGCCCTGCCTCCCCCCACAACCCCCTCCTCGCCAGCAGCCTGCCTGAAGGAAAGTCTCCTCCAGGTGTGGCCCACGTGGAGCAGTGCAGCCAAGCACATGGCAGCCGGGCAACAGGGGCAAGACTCCGCACTCGTGCCCCATATGCAGATGATGGTATGGGGTTCGGGTGGAGGGCGTGGCCACCATAGCGCTGCAAAGCTGCAATATGTGGTGAGTGGCCCTGCGGGGGCGGAGTACGGGGCAAAGCAGGGGTGGGCCGGGGCGGTTTTGGGGTACTCGGCCTCTAAAAGGTTCGCCATCACTGGTATAGGGTCTCCTGCTTGAGCAGAGGGTTTGACTAGACCACCTCCAAAGACCCTTCCAACTCTGTTATTCTATGTTGTATTTTGGATGGTAAGTCAGATCTGACCCATAGGCTATAAGTTGCCAACCCGTGCTTTAATAAATTCTCACTTCCAGCACAATGCTAGTCAACAGAGTTTTCCCAAGAAATGTAAATTACATCCCGAGAACTTAGTAAGGGCTCCTTCTGAGTGTCTTGCCCTGCCCACTATGCAGACTGTGCTAGCCCTTATCTAATCTAAGCAGCATTTCTAAGGACCAGATGGATTACATCCCAGGTTCGGAAGGACCTGGCAGTCATGATCTCGGAAGTACTAAACAAAATCTTTCAAAGCTCCTGGCACAAGGGGGAATTACCAAGGATTGGAAGAGTTGATGTGGTTCCAAACTACAAAAACGGGGGAAAAGTGGATCTGGGAAACTACAGATCAATCAGCCTGAAATTAATATCTGGGAAAATATTGGAAAATATAATCAAGCACACATTTGTGAGTACCTAGAAACGAACAAGACAATTACTAGAAGCCAAATCATGCCAGACAAAACTTATTGCCTTCTTTGACAGTGACTAAATAACTGGATACAGGAAATGCTGTGGACATAATTTATTTAGACTTCAGTAAGGCATCTGACAAAGTAGATTACAGTTTACTTCTTGGTATGACAGAACAATGTGGGAAAGACAGTCCCACCACCAGATGGATTTGCAATTGCCTGACCAACCACACTCAGCAGGTAGTTCTCAATGGAACTACATCGTTACCATGATGTAAAAAAGATGTTGAGACTCTAGAAAGAGTACAGAGAAGAGCAACAAAGATGATTAGGGGACTGGAGGCTAAAACATATAAGGAATGGTTGCTGGAATTAGGTATATCTAGTTTAATGAAGAGAAGGACGAGGAGTGACATGATAGCAGTGTTCCAATATCTCAGGGGCTGCCACAAAGAAGAGGGAGTCAAGCTATTCTCCAAGGCGCCTGAAGGCAGGACAAGAAGCAATGGATGGAAACTAATCAAGGAGAGAAGCAACCTAGAACTAAGGAGTAACTTCCTGACAGTTAGAACAATTAACCAATGGAACAACCTGCCTCCAGAAGCAGTGAATGCTCCAACACTGGAAGTTTTTAAGAAGAGACTGGACAGCCATTTGTCTGAAATGGTATAGGGTTTCCTGCCTAAGCAGGAGGTTGGACTAGATGACCTCCAAGGTCCCTTCCAACTTTTTATTATTGTTGTTGTTGTTATCATCTATATAGATGGAAGCATGAAGTGGGGTACCTCGAAGTTCTGTCTCAAGTACCTTAGGTTCTGTCTTCAACATCTTCATATATCATCTAGGTGAGGGTATAGAAGTAGAACTCACTAAATTTGCAAGTGACACCAAGTTGGGAGGAATACCGTATATGCCGGCATATAAGGCGACTTCCGCGAGCGCTAAAATCGGCGCCAAAGACGGGGGTCGTCTTCTACGCCGAGTTGTCTTATATGCCAGAAATACTGGTAGTTTCCAGCGTATAAGATGACGTTCTAGGAATGCGGCTCGGCGATAAAGACGGGGGTCGTCTTATACGCCGGGTCGCCTTGTATGCCGGCATTTACGGTAGCTAAAATTTTATAAGAAGATTCAGAAGAATCTTGACAGACATGAACACTGTGATTTATTCAAAAAAATGCAACTCAGTAATGAGAAAAATAAAATCCAATAATAGGCAGGAAAAACCAAACGCACAGGTATAGAATAGCTCACAATAGCAACTGTGAGAGGGTTCTAGAGGACCATAACTTACATATGAACCAGCAGTGTGCTGCAGTTGCCAAAAAAGCTAATGCAGTCCTGGGTTGGATCAACAGCAGAATAACATCTAGATCACAAGAAGTTATAATACCACTTTATACTGCACTAGTGAGGTCACATTTCAAATACTATAGTTCTGGTTGCCGTAATATAAAAAAGATGCTGAGACCCTGGAAAGCATTTAGAGAAGAGTAACAAAGATGATAAGAGGTCTGGAGCTAAATCATATGATCAATGATTGAGGAAATAGGTATAATCTAACAAAGAGAAGAACTTGAGGGGTTGCCACAAAGAAGAGGGGGTTGACCTATTCTCCAAAGCACTTGAGGGCAGGACAAGAAGTAACAGATGGAAGATTAAAGAGAGATCCAACTTAGAACTGATGAGATATTTCCCAATAGTGAGAACAATTAATCAGTGGAATCGTTTGCCTCGAAAAGCTGTGAGTGCTCTATCACTGGAGGTTTTCAAGAACAGACTTGACAGCCATTTGCCCAGACTGGTATAGAGCAGGCATGTCAAACTTGCGACTTTTCCCCCATTGCCGGCAATGGGGTGGGCGTGGTTTCAGTATGATGCATCCAGCCCGCGGGCCGGCAGTTTAACATGCCTGGTATAGAGTCTCCTGCTTGACAGGGAGTTGGACTAAAAGACCTCCAAGGTCCCTCCCAACCCTATTCTATGTGCTATCTTTTTCATCCTGTCTCCCAAGGTCTTTCTCACATACCATTACAGAAATAGTAAATTAGTTACCTCCTGGGCTAAGTTATGCTTTGCTCATCCCCTTAGCAACTTTTGCAGCTTCTCAGACTCTCTGTACAAGAAAAGAGGACAGAAATCCACCTAGTCTGCTATTTGTAGGGAGAACTGGCAATAGTCAAGAAAGAAAAAAAATACATTCCTGAGGTGGGATGGTAGTAATTTTCACCTGCCTATGAATGAATTGGAAGTGAAAAATAATTGTTTTAATAACTTCTAGAAAAGTCAGAATTTGTTATGGTGCAAAAGTTCTTCTAATGTGTTTAATAAAAATAAAATTATTTTCACAGTGCTCCTTGCATGAAGTCCTTTATAGACTTCTGCTACCTCCTACCACATCATAGAAAGGCAAAACACTTAGTTTCAGTCTATTAATTCCATCCTCTATCTGACAATGCTATAGGCTAAGGCTTTATTTGTGTAAATGCTGCTTTGTATTTATGACTCAGAAAATTCCATCAAGGTTTTGACTATTGTATCATATAAAAGTCAGTTTGCCCTTTCTGCTAAACATCTAAAACCAAGCAGCAATTGATTAATTACCCTTTTGAATGTTTTTTTTTTCACTGCAGTATATAGTATTATGTTTTTTAACAGGTAAACATGAAAAATAGTACTCTTAAATTGTTCATGTAAATAACTTCACATCTCACTTGGCACCCAGTAGAGTAGTGATAAAATCCTGGGCAAGATGAACCACAGCAATAGAGTTGTGTATTTTTGGCTCAACATAACATATGAATCCATACTGAGTGAGAGAAACACAATCTACATAACCAGTGGCACAGGAGAGGCAAACTGGATATTAAAATACAGATTAAGAAGAAAGTCACACCCTACAATCTTTTTTTCTTAAATGCCTACAGAAACTGGGATTCTGCTCCCGGGTTTCTCAACCACTCTTTCAAGAGCAGGTTATTGCAAGTTTTGCTGAAGCTGAATAAATTCTTGTCTGCTGAAAAATCTGAACCTTGATTTGCTAATCCACAGTTTGCTACTTGTAATCTGTATTGATTCAACCTCTTTTTTTTCTTATTAAAGCTGAATCTTTCAGGTTGTTTCAATATCTAAATATTAAATAGACATTTCTTTTATAAAACATTATTTTCAAAAAAAAAACAAAACTCACATGTGGGAGCTACACCTGCTAAAGTATGATTTAACTACCTGCAAACTTGCCTCTCATATGCACAAAGGCAATCTTGTAA